ATCCTAAAAGCATGTACAGCTCTTAACTGCTAGTCAAGCATTTATTGTCCTTGGACCAAAAGAACCCCAAAACTCAATAAAACTTTCAGACCTGTGACACAGCTTACTCATGTAGTAGACTATATTTAGGAAAATTAATAGCCATATTTGAAATTAAATTTCTAATTTTGGCCACCTAGATTGCTAGGTGCAATAAAATAAACCAAGAAAGGGCAATCAGATTGAGTTTGTTACTAGGAATATCTAAAAACAAACCACAAAAGCTAATTTTAAACAGTGGGTTGTAATCCATGCTGTTTGGTTTAGAACCCCTGCAGCAATTCCTTTCCAAATATCTATTTTAAACTGGTGGGTTAGACCTCTGTGGCTACTTTTTCACAGTGTCCTTAACATAAAACAGTGGTGACCATTAAAGTAAATAGGAAAAAGTGACAGTTACAGAACTTACCCTCCCCCCCAAAAAAAAAATTTTTTAGTACAGTGGATTCCCTTTAAATAGAGGGGTATGTTTCAAGAGGTGGGTGGTGTGTGTGTACTGTGTTACTTGGCTGGGACCATAATGAACGACCTCATCTGTGATCTTCCCAGAAGCTGGAAAAGAGGGCAGGCTTCTGTGGTTTATATCTTGTTTGGTTTGGGAAAGTGTGAGTTGAACTTGGAGAGTTTCCTACTATCTAAAATGTTCAACACTTGACCTCTGGAAAGCATAGAATATCTCTGCCTACCAATTTTAATTCAGCCTTTTTAATTGTAACTTTTTTGAGTAAAAAGGCTTTTTTTTTTTCTTTATTTAACATGATTGCTTTAGGCTGTGTACAAAAGGGTGGAAGCTCCAGGAGTCAGAACTGCTCAAAGAGTGTTTCAGGAGTCTGGATAAAATGGTTACCCCCTACATGCAGCTGCTCAACTGTTTTCTGAGGCAGAGAATTTCATACCAAGGCTATGACCATTAGTTGAATTGTCTTATAACTTGTTTGTATTGATGTTAACTTCTGTAACCTCTGGTCCACTGCAGTGTACACTGTACAAACATAAAAATTAAAGTCTTTTTCCCACAGAGGAATTTGCAGTTGATCTGTGTTAATAAACTGGTTGAGACTGTGCAGAGCACCCATATGAGTATCTGTGAAGCTCCTGAAAAGGTTTTTTCAGACATAACTCCTGTCCAAGGTGAAAGGCTTGACGTAGATGTTTTGCAAAGGGAGAAGCATGTCTTCAAAGAACTTAGTCTTCTCCTGAGTCTTGTTTTTGTAGGACAAACTTTAGTCACCTTTTAGGTAATGGACTGATCACTTGGACCTCTGTAAGGAGCTTATTTTATGAAGAGGCTTTTTTCTGTCAATGCTTTACATGTAAGTATCACTGCTTTATTTGTTTCCTTCTTTAGGAAATAAAACAACTAAATTATGATTCCATTAACTTCCTTTAAAAACCACAGAGACTCACTGAAAAAAGCTCTTTGTTTGACTGTTTTGTTTTTAATCCTTTTCTTTATAAACCCCTAGAATGATGACCACAAGCTTAAGCTGCCTCAAAAATGTTTTTGCCTTGCCAGAATAAGTCTATGCAAATTTCTCTTGCTTTATGCATCAAGCCAGGTCTCTCTGCTGGGAAACTGAAGAGTAGGTATGCGTTTTCTATCCCTGTGCCCAGTGTGCTCTCTGATAGTAAGCAGGTCAGCACTGTGACCCACAAGATGCATAGCAAGGACTGTGTTTTAACATCCTTCCTGCCCCCATTCACAAGCAGGTAGGAGTTACAGATAGAGCAGGATGCAGGCAGTTTGAACAGAGATACAAACCAAAACTGCTCTGACAAACGTGCAGCATGGGGTATATCCAAAACTCCAGGACTGGCTACCTGTTGCCATGTCTGTGTTAATTTGGGAAGGGAGTTAATATGGTCTGGGAGTACTGAGAGACAATGCAAAATGTTAGCAGGGAATTCCTATCTTGAGTAGGCTGTCGCTTTTTACTGCATACTGAATCTACAGCAAAGCTAAGTACTCTGATCACACTGGGTATTTATGCATTGCTTAATTGGTACCTGAGGTGTTCCCTCTTTAGCAGGATGAACTATATGGGTATGTAGAAGGTGTAATGGACTAAGTACCTTCAGTTTTCTCTTTATAACAATACAACGACATGTAAGGCAACATGCTTTTTTCTTTATTTTTCTTGCAATTCAAATCTATTTTGCTGATATGTTAGAAAAACTTTATTTAAATGACTTCTTGATAGCTTATTCTATAGAGTTGGTATATTCCTGCAACAATTTTTGACATCTCTTCTGCTTGGGTAACTCAAAAGCCAAGTCTCTTCTATAATAATAAAAGGTTAAAAGTCCAGAAGGTCTTAATCATAGAATCACAGAATGGTCAATGTTAGAAGGGACCACAGGGTGTCATCTGGTCCAAGCTCCCTGCTCAAGCAGGGTTGTCCTAGAGCACATTGCCGAGGCTTGTGTCCTGACATTCTTGAATACTGCCAGTGAGGGAGATTCCACAACCTCTCTGGGCAATCTATTCCTGTGTGTGGTCACTGCACAGTAAAGAAGTTCTACCTCATTCAGGTGGAGCCTCCTGTGCATTGGTTTCTACCTGTTGCCTCTTATCCTTATTAAATGGATTAATTGGCAAGGAAAGCCCTTTGCCACTGTATAATTACCAGTAGTTTGTTCTTAAGGTTTTGTTAGAAATGAGGAAAGAAAAACTATAGTTCACGCATCCAAAAGCATCTTAATTTAGTGCAATTAATCAGTGAGTTAAAGGAGAAAACTAAATGGAAACTAGAAGTAATAAACCAAAGACCAATACCTATTGATTTTTGAGCTGTGCTCAAGCATACAGAGTGGTACAGGGAAAATCCCAGTAGCATTCCTCTGTGTGTGTTCCCAAAATCAAAGACCTGTAACTTATTGTACTTGTTACCCAGACAAGGGGAGCCCTGAAGGGAGTGTTTCCACTGTGGTGATCCTGTGCTCTTTCATTTCTTCCCTGTGATGCTTTCAACTGTCTCTACATGCCCTTAGTGCTTCAGCCTTTGGTTTTGGTATCTATGCCTGTGTGGTTGCAGAGGCATTAGGCACAGTCTCTGCCACGTGCAGATAGGGTGCTAGAATGCTACTTCTTTCTGCAGTAAACAAGTGTTATATATCTGTTGTATTGCTAATGTTGTGAAACGTAGGGAGGGAGGGGAAAAACAACAATGAAACAGGAAGCATTACTCTGCAACAGTAATGTTACTGTGAAGGATTAGAGCTGGGGCTTGATGTAATGTAATACTTTACACCTCTGAAATTACTGTAAGTGCTGATTCTCTGCAGAGAAGTGAAGGAAAACATGTACTTAGACAGCTAATGCACTGCTCATCCATCCATCCAGCTCAGCCTATGTGTTGTGGTAGGTACCAGCTGATGTGTCTGACTGAGGCATGACTAAGCTGTGTGAGCTGCTCAGTTACGCAGTCAGTTTGAGGCAGAAGAGGTTATCAGTAGGGGTTTTTTTATGATTTGGGTGATATTCTAATCACCAGACTGTCATTTTTTGGTGCATGCAGTCTTAGTGGTTCACACTGATGTTCTTACTTTCTCTTAATTGTGTTTGTTGAAGGTCTTGCAAGACGAGTGCTAAATGACTTGACTAGACCATCACATTCTAAGAGAAAGAAACCAGACCAAATTAAGTATCTGCCCCAAATTAAAGTGTTACTCTATAATAAGAATCTGACTTTTAAGTTTCCTAACCCATGTGAGTGACCTGTCCTTGCACAGTCATGTGCTGGCTGTCACACCAGCACATGGAGAAATATAGTTGAAACATGTAATTTGGGATGTGCAAGAAGAATCTTGGAAACAAACACCACTTCGTTCACTTCGTTAATACTTCAGCTAGCATGGCTGAAGTATTAACATAGACCAAAATATAACAAAATTTTGTAATATTATGCTCAAAGGCAAACTGCCAGAGAAAGGGAAAACTTGTTTCAAGCCAGTTGCCTAGTAGGACACCCTGAACTCTTTGTTTGGCTGATTTAGGCTGCACTCCCTTGGATACTGTGCAGTAGAGGTGAGAGTGAAGAACTGGATTGTCATACAAATGATATGATGGGAAGAGGGCAGGCTGCTTCAAGCAGGAGGAAATTAGAGCAGCAGTATTTTGTATAGGAAGGGAGATAGAAAGACGAAAAACTTTTAGGAGAATGCAGGGGGATAATCAATGGGATTTGAACAGTGCAGAAAGAGATATTTGTATCCAGAGTTATCAAATTTGTTGGGCCAGAGGTTTGTTGTAAAATGTCCTAGTTGATAGGTGTAATTTTTATCATGTAAAGCATCAGGTTATATGAATAGTTGATTAGTTTTTGAGAGATGCAGGACTTCTCAAATATTTTCTTCTTTTATTATCAGGAGACAATTCTGACAGAAAGATGTAGTAGGGTTTTGTTGTTGTTGGGTTTGGGTTGGTTTTTTTGTTTGTTTGTTTTGGTGTTTTGTTTTTTTTTTTCTTTTCGTGTGTTTTTCCTTTGGCTGAGGTGCCTGGTAATAGACATACAGTCTTCCCCTGAAGGCATTTGAAATCGCTTTCCTTCCTCTCACTGAATAAGTAGTATGGGCAATTATCTTAAAATCTACTTCTTTAGGCACCAACCGTAGGAGATAACTATCTTGGGTAATCTAAATCCCATCTTAATTTTTTCCTTATGCTTAGTCTGGTGCATCACACCAGCATGGCAAATGACTGTGTATAGCATGACATCTAATTCACAGGGGAAAATGGTATAATAGAGGCTGTTGCTTCTGCAGACAAGCTGTCCAACTTCTACCTAGAACTGCTGGTTTTAGCCATGGCTTTGAAAAAAGTAAAAGTAACTTTCCATATGACTGTAATGACTGCACAAAACACCTCTGTGAAGAGTTATTTTTCTGTGAAGAGTCTTTCTCTTATGTTGCATCTTGGCAATATATTCTTTCTTGTCCCATTGATGTGTGCTCTTTTGGTTCTACTTCCTCTTAATATTGTTTGTGGAAGATAACCCTTCAGAACAAGGGAAACCTTCACTCTCATCTCTGCAGAGTAGATCTGGGACATGAGACTGGGAACTTGTCCACACTGGGAGCTGTGAAAGATGTTGTCTCTTACAAGTATCTTCTTGGAGTAATTTGGTTGTTACTGAGTCACAGGAACAAGGAGCTTATGTGTAAGTTACCCAGAATGCACCCCACTCTGAATGCTGTTTTCAACTCCAAACATTTGGATTTCCAGTGTAGCATATGAAGGGATGGTACTTGCATATGTGTTGTCTTAAAACTAACATGGGAGCTGTTGTTCAAACCTGAGCTCCACTGTTGGTATGCAAGTGACAGACCCCGAGTGGGTTTGTGGTGGGTTTTTCAGTCCCATGTACTCTGTTCCTCATCTGAGACTTGTAAAGCACACTGGAAGTACAGCATGTCCTAAGCATTTTTTCGTAGTTGCAAGTAAATGGACAGTTTTGATTTCCTTTTGACTGGTGGACCAAGTGTCTCAGTCAGAACTGGGGCTCCACTCCCCTTGCTCATATTTGCAGTTTCTCAGTAACTTTGCATAGCTTTAAATGTGGTTTCTAGATCTAAGCTTCCGCGACTTTTTTCTCTTTCCCCCGGATGAAGAAAACTCTCACAGAGCTCAAGCTTGATGTTAGTTGGACTTTGTGTAAACATACTTTTCTGAGTCAACTATGAAGAAGGAAAAAGCTTGTGGTATGTTAAAGTTTGAAACTGCTCCTTACTGATTTACTGCTGTTCTGGAGACAGGCCAGAGTGTACTAATTCATCAGTTCTTGTAAGCAGAGAGGAGGGAAAGAATAGTAGGAAACAAGGAAAGGGGTGGAGGGGAAAAGAGTTGGAGAAGAGAAAAAAACATGGGGAAATACAAGGGGTGGGAGGAAAGACATAGCAAAACCATTGTTTTTGACAGGGTACCTTAGGAATTTCTGGAAAACAATAAAATAAAATGTTACCCTAGAGAGCAGTGGAATTGTCTATACCCTTCTTATTGCTGGGACCTTCATGAGCTATAACATTATCCAATCTCGACTGACTTCTGACAGATAGTGTTCGGGGGTTTTTGCAGTTCAGTTGCATGCTTTGGTTACAATTGGCTTTACAGTCAGTCTCTTTTAGGTTGGTTTCATCTTGCCTCACTTTCAGATCTCTTCTGTGTGCAGTTGATCTTCCTGTCTCTAAAATACTCAGAGCTTAAACATGTTGACTGTTAATGATTTAACCTATGACCTTCCACACTTTTGTATGGGTTTAGTGGTTGCCACAATAATACATAGATGGTGCCTTGGTATTGGCCCCAGTATTCAAAGGCAGTGGTTCACTGCAGTAAAGTAAAAAAAAAAAAATTATGGGAATTTTTAATGAGAATTTTAGTAGGTTCATGAGTCTTAAAAGCAAGTGAGAAGGGCAGGCTCATTCTCTCCAGACCGAAATGTATTACACTCGTGGCAGTTTCAAATCTAGTTGATACACCAGTGCTACAGCATCCAGGCTTTTCCTTCTGTATGATGAGGATGGGGTTTTATGAAGATGCTTTTAAAATGCGTATCCTCTTGACCTAACTGTTTCAAATTATCATAAGGTCTTGTGTCTCTGGCTGCTGAGAGTGCTCTGAGGTGTGCTGAGGACCTGGGACTCCGGTGCTGGGAAATGGAAGGGTGCAAAGATTTCTCAGCTTTTCCCTGAGGTGCTCTGCTGCTTTTGTAATCTCTTGGATAGCAAACATTGATTAGACACGTGAATTCTGGGCAGTGTTCCTTAGTATTTCCACACTTTTGTCCTTTTATTCATGCCATATTTTGGGGCATAGTGCAGTGGAATTCCACTTCAATTGTTACTTTACTCTGTACAACAAAATACACTACTTCCGAGAACAGCCAGGAAGATGATCTGTTTTTTTCTATTTTCTCCTCATTTGTCTCCTGTCTTTTCTGTTCTCTATTGTCTGTCTTCTTACTCCTTTTTTTCTTTAAATTTCTTTTTCTCCACACCTTTGAATCTTCCAGTTCTTTCCCTTCTGCCTGACCATTTGCCTTTCCCATCTACAGTTTTTTCAGATGGAGTGAAGTGATTTTTTGTTTTCTCTTTGAAATGTTTTCAGCCCTGCCTACAGGGTTTGAATAACAGCCTCACCCAGTTTATTTCAGGTTGCTGCTGTTTGGCAATGCTTCAAGAAGCCACAGTGGCACCAGAGCTGGTGACAAACACAGGAAAATGCAAGGTCAGGAAAGTCTTTGGCTCTGTCACATTATTCAGCAGCTGTATTTTTTTGAATATGTACAGGGATCTAGCTCTCTGAGGCACTTCTGCATGGACAGATGATGAGTTTATGGCATTTCTTTTGAAGTTTTAAAAATCTGTTGTTTTCTGCCTTTGTCTCCATAGTATCTTTTTCTCTCTACTCACCCGTGACTTTAATAGGCAGTATTGTCATATACATCCATGGATCTAGAAACTGACCACTAATTTCTAATATTTAAAACCTTTCATGATCAGTAATCAAGCTGTGTCGTCTAAGGTTTGGGGTTTTTTACTTTATATGATGCTCTAATTTCTCTGGAAAAGAAACGAGAAGTTTTTAGCCTGGTATTTAGCAAAGAAATTATTGGTTATTTATTTTTTTAAGTTTCCCTAAAATGACTTGTCCCTGTGCTGGTTTAAAGGTAAACCAGCAGGGGAAAATGAACTCAACCCAAAAGAGAGACTGTAAGTCAGAATAACAATTTAATAAAATAATACAATAAGTATGATTATGCAGACAAAGAACTGGCTTTAACCCACAAAACCCAAATGTATAACCCAGGACCCTGTGGCATGAACAGAGTGGTGTTCTTTGGGCCCCCTGAGTCCAAAGTGTAAAAGGAGAGGGGAAAACCTGTTGGTGAGAGTGCTGTTGCAGTCCGGTCAAGGGTGGTGGTTGCAGTCCAGTCAAGAGTGGTGATCTGCAGTCTTCCTCTGGATCCCACGAGTGGTTAAAAAAAGTTTCAAGACTCCAAGATTATATATGCTCCAGTTCAGGCAGGAATGCCCAGTACTTCCCTCAGGCCCGGGAGTTCCACAATGGGTGTGAGGACAGGGGGCACCCTCCTATCTCGCAGACCTCTTAACAACCAGTTTATAGCCTGAGGAGTCAGGCTCTATGGGCAGAGGGTGTAAATAGTCTATTGATAACAGTTTCTGGGAAATGGCATGGAGGGCTATAGAGTACCCAGTTTTGGGTTACACCCATCCAGTCATGAACTGGTCCCAGCTGTTCTAACTAGGACAGTCCCCGAAGCAGTACAGTTTTGTACTTGTAATGGTATTGTTCAAATACCTTTCCTTAGTGAAAAACTAGATGTTCTTTCTCTTTTTTTTTTCCTTCCGCATTGGAATGTTTCAGTGTAATCTTTATACATGTATATATTTTTATGTTCTCTATATATGTTACTCATATAGCCATATCTTATATATATATAAAAATCAGTTGGGAAGGTGAAGCAAAGAAACATAGTGGCTGTTCGTGAGTGGACTGAAGTCCCTGGAGTAATTGTTTCAACTCAGGATAAGAGCCTGTTTCCCATGAGCTATGTTGTCCAGGAGACTGAAGTTGCTGACAGTGCTCTAAGCCTATACGTGATCTTTTATCCCTTCTGGGCTTGGGCACTGGAATAGCTTGAAGATAAAACATAGTGAGGATGGAATTGATGGTTAATCTGTGTAAGGACTTAAAGGCCAGGTCTGGAGAGTTCAGAATAGACAATGTGTTGACATGACTTTCTGCAGTATTCTGCACAAGCTGAAGTTTCTTATGTGTTGAAGTGAGTTATACCTGAAAACAGCAGCCTGTTATACTGCTGGAAGACAGAACATGGCTTTACAGGTTGGGGTTGTCTGGAATTCAAAGGACGATATCTACCTGCTGAACTTAAGCTGTAGATAATGTAGTTGATTTGAGATCAGATTTGTGAGTGGACCTTTAGAATTAGGTAGGCATTTGACAGAATTTAAGAACCTAAGAAGGCAGGCATCAAAACTCTGAAGTTAGAAGTCTCTGAATATCCATGTAAATCCAAACTTCCATGTGTTAGTTTGCCTGATATCAAAGAATGATTTTGCTTTACTTCCCAAGCAGTTCTGTGAGGATGAAGAACTGGAGACAGTTCATTTAGATAGATGCCAGTAACTAAGTGATTGATAAATGAGAGGTATTAATCTGCCTGCCAATTTGTGTTACCATAAAATCTACCTAGTGGGTGGATTTATTATTCAATTTGTTTTATAAAGTGACTTTTAAATGACCTTTATCTGTGGTATAGTTGCATATAGTCAACGATATTATGTAGACTCCTTTCACATAATCCTGAGGATCTTTTTAAGAGCCTAGGAACAAAGAAAAAGGGCATCAAGTTCAAACTCTGACAGAGGGGTGACAAATAATGCAAACTGCAAGACTGCTGAACACCCTTAGCCACCAACCTTGATCATGTAAACAGGTCCCTGCTGCCTTGGGGGTATGGCAGAAAGCTGTTGGATTGTGTGCAGTGAGCTGCAGCTGTGGCTGCATAGGAAGGCTCAGAATTGTTGAGGTCAGAGTCAAAAATATTCACTTAATAGATGTGGCAGGCAGTGCCAGTCCCACAGTGCGATGTAGTAGCCTTTCTGCAGATGACTCCACTTGAGAAATGTGTGGGGTTTTCCTCGTAAGTAAAAAAAATTGTTTTGGGTTTTTTTATATTTTTATGTATTTCTAAAAATGGTATAAATAGTATATAAACATACTTCATATATTAAATAAATACAATGTGACAGATGTGTTTTACTTCATGTAGGGGGAAATGTAGTCTGAATTACATATATACCGTTATCTATAAATATATATACACAATACTAAAACTGTACTATAGCAGATGTGTTTGATTTCATTTAGTAGCCTGTATAACTTTTAATAGAGTTATTTTGACAGAGAGGGATGAGAGGAATGAGAACAAATTTTAAATCCTGTTTAAATCCCTTCCCTTGACTTCTAAAAGAGGTACTTTTCATTGTGTCAGTAAATTCAGATTAAGATAACTCCTTAAGGCAGATGACTTAAGTGTACCTGATTACCTGTATCTGGTAGGAGAGGAGACTGAAGCTCTTAATTTAGAAATTAAGCCCATCCTTGATTTAAAGCAGAAATTTAGATTCTGCTGAAATCTCTATTTTGAGTCTTGCTTGGTGAAAAAGACCCACCAGTTAGTGTGCTCATATGACTGTTATTCAACCCTATTTTCTAGTCACACTTTTCTCACAGTGGTGGTCATGTATCTGAAGTGTTGGCAGTGCAAATGCAGCTTGATTGTATAATGCCATAAAATACTTGACTAGCAAGCAGTAAGAAAAATCATCCTGTTTTATGACTTCTTCAATGACTTGTATGGAAAAAAATTGCATTATTTCCTGCTTTCACAGAAGCTCTCACAGTATTTCTGTTTCACTGTTTTCTGCAACTTTTTGAGGTCTGGAAAGAAAGAATCGTTCTATTCTTGACTTACTAGAGGTCAAGTCAGCTGTTTCTCACTGGAAAATGTAGTCTGTGTAGGTGGACCAAAAACTGAGGGATTACTGTTCAGAAATACAATTTGTGTTCACTTAATTCATTAATTGTTCTGCAGAAGTGAAAAAAATTGAAAGATTCCTTTTCTCTCCATACCCATTTCCTGGAATGCCTAACAATCACATTTTAAATATATTGACATGTTTTTACAGCAACAGGACTTCAGTCACTTCTATCTCTTTATGCAGTGGTTTCCTTTTAGTGTGGGCATGCACATGATTGCAGAATTGAACAGTTATTAGTCAGGTTGTTGATTATTTATGACAAGACTGTCTGAACAAACTCTTAGTAAAGCTATTTCTTATGCTTCTTGCTTTCAGCTTGCTTTGGGATGATGTCCTAGAAAACTATGTGCTGTGTGACCATATTTTTTACAAATTCAATATTATCAGATATGGACCACAGTCAACAAAAATACAAAAATGAGACTGACCTTGATTGCAGTGGAATTTGTAGTCTCTGAACTGACAACCAACTTCCCTTCTGGTTTTCTGTGTCTCTAAGTCTGATTTGTTGTGTCCGTTTTCAGTACTGGTGTTTGGACTGAGTTTGGTAAGCAACACTAAATGTCCAATGAACTAAATATTTAGTGTGCTAAGGTCTATTCAGTTGGGTATATTGGTCTGTAGTTCTGTACCTTCGCTAGCTGTATTTCTTGAGGCCTCATAGCAGGTAGCCAAATGAAGAGGCAAAATTTTCTACTGGCTGTTTGTGTAACTGGTGACCTTGAGTACAATGACGAACCAAGGCATTTTTCGATATCTTGTTTCTTTAGAACTTCTTTTAGTTATCTTGTCTTTTTTCTTGCAATTACGTAGCATTGTCCCTGAAACATTGCTCATCACTAGAATGCAGGAGAACACAATCTGAAGCCATAAGAGGCCACAACTGTGGAACAGTGGGAGTCTTAATCTGTTTATGACAGAAGGTGTTTGTTTCTCTGCTTTTCTCTTGTGAGTTTGTTGTTTGGTTTTGTGCTGGGTTGTTGTTGTGTTTTGGTTTTTGTTTGTTGTTTTTTTTTTTTTGTAAAAAAGCTTTTTTAAACATCATGATGTAAACACAGAAGCTTATTATTTACTTGCAGCAGTGTGCCAGATGATCATGAAACAAGATCTAGTCTGTGCTTGGGAAGGTTTTATTCTCTCTACCTTTAAAGAGATACCCAGCAGAGATGATCCACTGGGATGTGGAGGTTTTTTGTATATATTTTTCAAGACCAGGTGGCAAATTTCTTGATCCTGTCACATCATAAATGTAAGATTTCATTATTAAAAGATGTTTGGCAAGGAGGGGTGAGGAGAATTAGGTCTGCTACCATTTGAAGCTGAATTCAGGTTTTACTTGGTTATCACGATGGCTGAATTCAGCATGAATTACATGCCAGCTGTACAGGGCAGCCAGTTTCTGCTGGCCTGTTGGGAACCAGCTTGAAAGACATTTCGCTTTGATTCACTCTTACTTTGCAGCAGATGAAGAGGAGAAATATTTCCCAGTGAGGTGTTACTGCAATATAGTTGTGCTGCAAGAAGAATTACCACAGGGATACCAGTAAACCTCTGAATGTCCTAGGGAACAACAGTAAGCACTGGGGCTGAAATGTTGATATTTTCCCCTTTATCTTCACTTATTGACCCACATGGAATATATATTTAAATTTTTTTTTGTCTGAATTGGGTTGTATCATATATTTGGTAAACCTTAGTTTGCATTGTATTGGATTTTACATCTTCACCATAAAATTCACTAGGATTTTGGTCTGCCTGATGTATACAAGTGCATCCTTAACTTAAATCTATCCTTCTTGATTGTTTGTTTGCTAGTTTCATCCACTTGCTACCATAAGTATCAGATATGCAATAAACTGGTCAGGACAAGCAAAGGACACTCCAAACAATAGCAGACAGTTCAGGTGTGTTTGGTCACTTCTTCTCAAATACCTTATGAAACTGTCTGTAAATGTCAGCTAAACCAAAGCTTGGAAAAAGAAAATGGGTTTTGCTGGTAATTTGTGTTAAATGAAGAAGTAGTGGTGACTGACAGTAAAGAAGCAGCCTAATAACCTTAAAAGTCTTGGGGTTTCATTAATATCACTGTGTCAGACCTTGATGTTAAGGTCTCAGAACACACTGCACAGCACAAGTTGTATTTTGTGACGTGTAGCCATTATTCATGTGTTGTTCTGTGGAACTCTTTCATCTGTTTCCTTTGAAACAGTGTGGAGTTTGTGGGGGCTTTCAGAGGAAATGATCCAGAGCGACCCTGGAAATGGAGTTGCTTAATGTTTCTTCTCTCCTCTTCTCCCTGATGGCTGCACTAGAAAAAAGTTTTTTGGTGTCCTTTATGTACCTTATAAAAAGCATCTTCTAATGAGTTAAACTGAATGGAGGAGCTGACAAAATCTTCAGTTTGTTTCAGAAATTTTAGAGACCTTGGTGGAGTCATGCCCACGATTAAATATCAAAGCCTTGGACTCCAAAGAAGTATTTGTGAAGTCTGCATGTGATTTCTTCAGGGACAAAAAGCACATTTTGCTTGAACATCTACCTAAATCTAGTCTAGTAAGCATTAAAGTAATTTTTTACAGTTCTGGAGGTCTTGCGAAGTTCGCAGATGTGACTTAGATATAGGCAGTTCCTGCAAGGGCTGATGAAGGCAGGGGAAAAAAGAAAACCAGAATTGAAAAAAACTGTAAACATGATTGGGGTGACATAACTGCTGGTGTGGAGAAGGTAAGGAACCACCTAATTATCGAAGGACAGAGGTGAGATAATGTGAACCCCTCAGCAGCTTGGGATGTGAATTTTCTACACTTGGAAGGTCAGTGTCACAGTGATAAAATATTACTAGTAAATATGTTGTTAATATTTGATGTACTCTATAAATTACCCTAGATGTTTGGGGGAGCTGTGTAGGTTTTTATTTTTTCTTCCTGTAAAACTTGTAAATTAGCTTTACACTTTTTGGGAACACATTTGTTTGTGTGTGAGATTATTTTCTTTCTGGTTAATCAGTTGTCAACTCTCCATCGGGGCTCTGAAGCCTAGGATAAAGATGCTCTGCATGGTCCTGTCCTATTGCTGTCTTTAGAGTTATATATAGGTATTATAACCCCTTCTTTTAGCTCACTTTGTGCTCTTATCTTCCCCAATTGGTTGTTGCAATGACAAAGTTGTGGTCTCAGTATATTGAAAGTGTTGGAAGAAAAATGCAGGATAAAACTTGTAGTGTACTCAAAATATTTATTTTTCTTTCTAAAATTAGCAGCAAACTGATTTATTTGTCATGCTCTTGGGAATGAAAATATCTGGCTCTGTGAGTTGCAATATCATCATGCTGGAAAAGGGGCATAATAAATGCCTGGCTTATGAAAGACCTTTTGAATCTTACCTGGGTAGCTGAGGTTAAGGAATGTCATAAGTAAATTTTGATACTGGTGAGAGAAAACTTTTAACTAGTGGTGAAAATGGAAACGAGATTTTTGCATGTGTAATGTTTGACAAAAACCTGTGACCAAAAGGTATTTACTGCTTGCTCTTGTATTTTGTCAGTGTGGGTTTTTTGCGTTCTGCTTTCTACATGAAGTTCCATCAGACAGTGAAGCAAGTGCAGCAAGAAGTTAGCTATTGCTGTTTACAGCAAAGTCATTAGAAAAAAACAAACCCAACAGGCAGCAGCTGACAATGTTATTTCCAATGGCAGAAATGTAGAGTATTAATTTAAGGAAATAATGGAGTATCTTTCCTTTTTGTGCTGTTTTTCAGACTGCTCTGCAATGACTACAGCAAGATACAGGCCTACCTGGGATTTGGTGCTTGACCCATTAGTGTCCTGCAAGCTCTGCCTTGGCGAATATCCCGTGGAGCAGATGACAACAATAGCACAATGCCAATGCATCTTCTGTACCCTGGTGAGTTTGTGTTCTATATTAGGCATAAAAACCAAAACATAACTTTTATGTTTCTGCTGTCTGGGTTTCACACTGGAGTATTGATGTTGCAGTGGAAATAAATACTGTTTCCGTGTACTTGACACAAAAACTTCTGTTTTTCTGTTCAAAAAAAAAAATTTTTTTTACTTGGCACTTGAACATACTGTATAGTTACCTCCTTAGCAAGGTTATTCATGCTTCTCTTTTCATCTCTCAGTGGCTTGGATTTCGGGGTGGCTTTTTGATTGGCTGGATTTTGGTTGGGTGCTTTGGTGGGGGTTTTTTGTTCGGTTTTTGGTTTTGGGGTTTTTTTTAACTTTAGAAGAGGATAGAATCTTTCAGTTGGAAGGGGTTGTTCTGCAATGTTCATCAGTCTAACTGCCTGATCACTTTAGGGCTCATCAAAAGTTAAAGCACGGTGTGAAAGGTGTTATCCAAATGTGTCTTAAACATGAACAGAAGGCTGCTGCCCCAAGCCTGTCTGTGAAACCTGTTCCAGTGTTTGGTCACCCTCTTTGTAAAGAAGTGCTTCCTAATGTCCAGTCTGAACCTTCCCTGGTGCAGCTTTGAACCATTCCTGCATGTCCTCTCACTGGATACTAGGGAGAAGAGGTCAGTACCTCGCTCTGTACTTCCCCTGCTCAGGAAGCTTTAGAGAGCAATGAGTTCACCCCCTCAGCCCCATCCTCTCCAAACAAGACAAACCTAAGGTTCTTACCTGCTCCTCACATGAACGTGCCTTCGAGCCCTTTCATCAGCTTTTTTGTCCTTCTCTGGATGCATTCAGGTTCCTTCACATTCTCCTTAAATTATGGGGCCCAGAACTGCACACAGCGCTCCAGGCTGCACCAATGCTGAATACAGGAAAAAAATCACCTCTTTTGACCAACTGGTGAGGCTGTTTAATGCACCCTGGAATGGGGTTTGCCCTCCTGGCTGCCAGGGCTCACTGACTTGTATGGAACCTGTTGTCACCCAGCGCCTCCAGATCCCTTTCTGCAGAACTGTTCTCCTGGCACTTCTCTCTCCGAATTTATAGTTGTGTCTGGTGTTACTCAATATGAGGTGGAGAATCTGACACTTCAACTTTTTAAATTTCATGCCATTAATCATAGCCCATTGCTCCAGTTTCTCTAGATCCCTTTGCAAGGCATCTTGTCCCTCAAGAGAATCAACAGCACTTCCTGGTTTTGTATCATCATCAGTCTGGCTAATGGTGCATTCAACTCCTGCATCCAAACAGTTGATAACCATATTGAACAGAACTGACACTAGAATTGAGCTCAGAGAAAGTGCTGGTGACTGGTTGCCAGACAGATGTAACCCCATTCACTACAACCCTTGGAACCCAATACTTCACCCAGAGCACCATGTGTATACCTGTTCATCTCATGGCTGGACATCTTGTGCAGAAGGCTACTGTGAAGGACAGTATCAAAAGCCTTACTAAAATCCAGAAAAAATATGTCCACTGCCTTTCCTTCATTCACTAGGCAGCTGACCTTGTCATAGAAGGTTATCAAATTAGTTAAAACAGACTTACCCTTTGTGAACCCATATTGATGGGTGATGCCTGATGATTGCATTATTCTTCAAAATGCCTTTCAACAGTACCCAGTATTACCACACACTTGTAACTACAAAAGTATTTAATGTATTATAGACTTTAATTTCAATGTATCATAGTTAGTCACATAACAGGTTTCCATTACTGTATTGTTACAAATGCTTGCCTGGAATAACAAACATATTGTCAGTTAAGTACAAAACACTGGCAAACATAAGTGTAGTATGTGACAAAGATCATCATCATCACAGTTAATGGATATTGATGGTTTATGAATAGAGGATGAAAACTAGTACTAATTTTTCTTACCTAATAATGATTTGAAATTAAAATTTTAGATCCTTAAATTTTGCAGTGGGTGCAGGTTTACCAAAAACTTTGTAACAATGATTCAACAGAGGAAGAGTTGGAGTATTATGAGTAAGAATATGATTTCTGGGGTACATGATGCTCAGGCTTTAATTTCCCAAGAGTTTTGACATGATGTTACAGATTCAGAAATGGGATTGAGTGACTTTTTCTTTTTTGTTAAATCCGAAAGTCCTTTTCAACAAAGTTTTTGAGTGTGTGTTCTTAATGTTCAAGATCAAGGATTTTAGTTACTTTTTAATTTTATTTTTCTTCATGAAAATACTGTCTTTTAATAATAGATTTTTTCCCTGATGGAAAAAAGAACAACCAATAGAACAGACAATTCCAGTTTGAAAGGAGTGTTTGCTTAAACATACAAAAGTATGGAGAATTATAGGCTTCATGAAATCTGTTCTCCACTGTTCTAGTACTTACAGCTGAGTATTCTGTTTCTCCCTGTTGCTTGGGTGTGGAAAATACTTAAATTTCAGTTTTCAGTAGCATTTCAATGGTAGCAGAAAAACTGGGTTACCCAGGTACACCTTTTCATCTTTACCTGGTTCCTTCTGATGTTTGCTACTGTCACTGATCTGTTTCTTGATAGAGTATAGTAACTGGCTCTTACTGCTCATTTGAAAGATACAACCAGTTAGAGACATAAAATATGTAACCTTTGCCAATAATCTGTACTTAGCAGCTGACATAAGTAACCTGGCTGTTGTGACATGGGGTTTTTGTTTTGAACTCTATTCGGGTGGAATCACCAACTCACTTGTATTTGACTGTTTAAATAGTTCATTCAACCTTGTCCTGTTTAAGGAAATTGGTGTAATCTGTCTGCCTCTTGTTTGCCACTTGCTTCACTACAGTGATGTTTGAGCGCCTTGAAAAAATTATTTATCCTAAAGTGCTGCCATAAATTAATAGGAAATATTACTTTTGCTTTCATTGGTGATGGTGAAGGAAGAATTAAGAATCAGTCAAATAAATGCAAGAGGCAATAGCTGTAAACCTGTTACAGTTCCAACTTTCATCTGAAATCCAAGGCCTTCATCTCAACCTGCAGGCTGTCCCAAAGGTAAATAAATTGCTGAAGAAAATACTCCCCTAAATCAGGCAAGATTGTTTAGCCTGTTGGCAATTGTTAAGGAAAAGTGTGAGAGCTGTTCACAGATTCCTCCTCTCCTGTTCCTCCAGTGACAATTTCCAGAAACACCAAGGACATTGCAGTCTTTAGTATGAACTATGCTTTGTAAATAACCAAACTAACATTGTTTAAAACTGACAGGAAAAAAACCCAAGCCTTTTGATTCAAAATTTTGCATGGAGTCTATGTACAGTACATCCACTACATCTATTTTGTTTTTGATTGACCAATATATAATTTTTTTTCTGGCTACTTGCTTTTATGTAAATGAACAGAGATAACTGATGACCTCTCCAGGGATATGAGCAAAAGAGAAAAAGGAATGTCTGTTACAGGTGTGAGAGCTACTTTTGCTGCAGCTTTTGTCACCAGCTTAACCTTTCTGTCTAAATCACAGCAAGCTGAGACAGCATCATTATGTATTACAAAAATCTTTGAAATTAAGTGCTAGTGGTATGTAGGCAGAATTTGTATCAATGTACAGGTCTCTCAATCCTATAATATTTGTATATTATAATACTCTTTATAATCATAGAAGTACTGTAGTAAAGATCCCGTGAAGAATTGTCTCTTCCTGACACTTATACAGTAGCACAACTTTGCTATTTGGAAAAATAGAATGGGGACACTGTTTCCTTTTGCTTTCTGGCAGAGGTGTGCATGGATTGAATAGAGCAGACTGCCACTCCTCTGCTGATAAGGCATAGACACTACAATTTCCCATAGTATTACTTTGCAATTGTGACTTATTTAGTACAAATTACTCCATTTAATACTCCATTATGGTTTTTATCATTATGATCGTTAATGTGCACACAGTGCTGTGAGCTCTCAAGTTTTGTGTATCTCATCCATTAGGAATGTTACAAGAATGTATTTGCTCTGGCACCTCAAGCAAATCCTTGTTGGTTTGCTCAAGGTACCAGAGGAACAAAAGTCAAGAGAGTAGAAAGAAAACAAGCGATCTGCTGACGGCTTTTAGTTTTTCTGAATATTATCAAGAGGCAGACTACTATCTCTCTTCGGGAATCATGTCAACAACAGGACTAATCTTAAGTGTGCTCATCTAATTCTGGACCAAAACACTTAAATAGCTTGCTCTTTATTAAATCATTTCCCACCTAAATAGCACACAGTACATAGCTAGTAACTTAAATTTTAAGATAGTTGCTTAACAGTTGCTTACCCCAGCAGAAGCAATTGATTGTACATGTTTTCTTCAGAAAACTTTCCTCATAACACTTATAGAAGGAGAGTAAAGCAGAGAACACTGTTTTTTTTCTATTTTTTTATTAGTTACTGCACTAATTTTTTTCACTAATTACTTAGCCTTTTCTTTTTTGAAGGGTTAGCAGGAGATAAGGAGGGAGCAATTTTAGTCGACTTGATGTCTGAAATTCTGATTATTTTGTAATCTATGATGAAATTCTCATGTGTCTTAAAGGACAGGATGTTTCCTTGATGTGTTACCAATTGTATTTGTGCTAAAGTTACAACAGGTTTTTGTTCTAGTTGATATTCTTGCATTTAAGCAGTTAGTTGCTTGACTGTGTTCCAATTCAGATTTACATGTACATCTGTGTATATAAATACTATATAGTTTATATATATAGAAGCATACACATAGATCTGTCAGTGTGTTGCAAGTACCGTGATGGCACTGTTACTCAAGACATGCTAAGCTCCTTTTGACCTCACATTAGATTACTCAGTTCCCTTCAAGGTATTATGCAGTGCTGATCATTCTGGTTCTGGAGGATTCATCGCTTACTTTTCTCAAATTTAAAAAGAAAATCAGTCAAGTAGGTAGTCTAGGCAAGAAAACATCTAGAAGAAATATGAAGCCTAACAGAAAACTTGTCTTTAATGGAAAAGTTTATTTTGATTGCTCATTTGCAGTCCACCTTGTTACTG